TTGAATTCTCAGTGACCCCTGAGTATAAAAAAAAAAAAAATAATCACTACAACAAATCACCCCTCCCCACTCCAACCTCAAACCCAATACCCTTACAAAGGAAACTTCTAAACTCAAAATACAGAGTGAATTTGCAATTCCCTACTAGCAGGTGGAACCTTGATTATAGTAATCAGTGAGAACATCTAATGAAGTCCATTTGGCTTCAGATTCAGCAAAGATAGAGATGCCCGAATCAGTTATTTATGTGTAGATGCTTACATGAGAGCTAAGTGTCTGGTCAATGGAGAGCTTATCAATATAGTTAGTGGAGACCAGTGAGCTACTCATCAGTTATTCGTTTGGTCAAATATAGGTATGGATTGAAAGGTGAGCTCATTATCGACTATAATGACTAGACCGCCATTATGTATAGCGGCAGGTCACGTATCTAGTCCATGTGTATACACTCATTTTAGGTACCTTAATCTGCAGACTAAATTTTTATCCCAAATGATAAACAGAGATTAAAGCTACCTGCACTACTGTTCTACCATCCAATATTGGGAACGCTTTATTCTTCTATGTAAATTCTTTATTTTATAAAATCTTCCAAACCAACACCACAATTTCTCCATTATAAAATACTCTGCTGCTTGCCACTCTGGCACTGAGATTTTACAACTTAGAACTCAGAGGGTTTTGACTGAATGTAAACCTTTTGGCATTGCTGAGTGTCCATAATCGTATGTGTATCCATGGTAACAACAGGAGAGAAAGTATGGGTGTGTAATCCTTCTTAAGTAATACAATGTTATGTTTTTCTTGGTAGACAAAGAGATGCTAGCTAGTCATAAGCATATTAAACAGCCTGTGAATACCAAAGTTGCACATATACTCCTTTCCAGCAAAATGGAATTTTTTTTCGTAAAATTTTAATGCGTGGTAATAGTTCAGGAATATAGATATAAAATTTCTGGAGCTTCTGTTTTAAATAAAGTTGGGCAAACTAACTTCAAATCAGTCATTTTAGTTAAATCTTCTTTCTCTTAATCTTACAGTTTAATGGAAAATTATAACTAATCATGCTAATCTTGTTGCTTACCAGAGAAAAGTCTAAATTATTCTCTAACTAATTAAAATGGCATTTACACCCTTTTAATGTGCCATATTCCTGTGTGATAGCCTAACATGTTCATATAACCATTGTCATAAGGTGTAAATGATTGAAGAATCAACATGATATTGACTGTACTGCTATATTTTTAAGTAGGTCTTTTTCCCTTGTTTTGTTGTTTTATTAATTATTTTCAGTTAGCAAAAATACAGAATATTTTAGACACAGTTATGACTATTATTTAAAAACCAACAATATCTGGATACCATTTTTGTTTTATACTTTCCAGCTTTTATCCTGTGAATCTTGGTAAAGCTTGCAGGAACTGTAAGGCAGTTGTCTTACTGACATGAAACAGCAGAAGTTGCACACTTCTGCAAGTAAAATTAAACACAAGGCATACTTTGACACTGATGCTTAAGTACAAAAAGCTTTGTAATGCCTACTCCCTCAAGCATCAGGGGTCTACAGAGGTATGCATAGGGATAGAAAATAGGTGTACCCAAAGAGATGCAAACTTGAAAAACAAAAGCTATTTTGCTATAGAAGAGAAAGTAAAGTCCAATTTTATATACAGGTAAAATGGTTTCTAAATGGAAGATTTTTTTTTCCAGTTTTCCATGAGTTTTCAGCTGCTTTCTAAAGGGACGTGCAAACTGAAGAAGGAATGCAAGCATAGGTTCTGATCCCACAGCAATTTTTTTCTCCAACTGCTGGCCCACAGAAATTTGGCATCTGTGGCTTCCCAGCCATGAAAGTAATCCATTCAGTGGAAATCTGGGGTTTTTTTCTGGTGGTTTTTTTTTTTTTTTTCTTCCCATTTATGCGATACTAAATTTGGTGTTTTGATGTTCTTCACAATGTCAGAGACCGACGATGCTTAGCACAGTTTCTATTTAAAGAAATAAGACTGGGAGTCCTCAAGTTAGTATTTTCTGACAACGTTACTAGGTGTGTTTTTCTCTGTTTTTCCCCTTCTGGGGTTTTTTTCTGGTGGTTTTTTTTTTTTTTTTCTTCCCATTTATGCGATACTAAATTTGGTGTTTTGATGTTCTTCACAATGTCAGAGACCGACGATGCTTAGCACAGTTTCTATTTAAAGAAATAAGACTGGGAGTCCTCAAGTTAGTATTTTCTGACAACGTTACTAGGTGTGTTTTTCTCTGTTTTTCCCCTTCTTCAGCCATGGGGGTGGGGCAGCGGAGAGAGGAGAGAAGATAATTAAATAAGATTTACAGTTGTTGTATTTTACCAACAATTTAATTATGAATCCAACAAAGATAAGAATGAGAGTGTAGGTCCTGAAGACTTTAATCCTTCCTGAGAAATCTGTCACAGTAGAGCCAACCTCATTGTAAACAAGGAAAGGTCCAGTGTAGGAATCATAAGGAAGAAAACCTCTGTTATGGACCAGGATCAGAGAACGAGAATAAGGACTATAATCCAGTTTTCCTGTAAGTATCTGCAGCCTTTGAGAAAAGAATCCCTCTTCATTTTTTCAAACTAAAATGCTTCAAAGTCTCTCATCCCCACACTGGTAAGGTAGGAAAGTAAAAGATCTAGACTCAGTTGTATTCCAATAACTGCATATCTGATGTTGAAGAGTATCATAACCTCAAGAAATTGGAGTAACGGAGCTCTAAAAGCAGGATAAACTGATTACACAGAATTGTAGAACTGGAAAGCCTGAATGCTCAGTACAAAGCATCACGCACGCCTACTCCAAGGGAGAATCAACTATAACTTTTGTGATTTTTTGTATTTGTTTGCCTACTCTGTACTTAGAAACCTCAAATGACTTCCCCAGTTAATGTCTTCCAACGATTCAGTTTCTTTTATAATTTAGTAAGTTTTTCTTATAATAGCTGTGCCAAATTATGCAGCCTGCATGTATTGTCCTGTTCCTGGATACATTCATAACATGTAGTCATGGAACCAGAATGATCTAGTCTGGTGATGTGCCTTTTGGCAGTAATTTTTCTTCGAAAGGAGCAGGCTAGTCTGATATATTAAATAATTCTGTGCTGGATCCAGAACTAATTGCTTTGTTCTCATTTTAAGTGTTGTCCTGGAAGTGTCACAGTATATTTCAATATGTGAAGTTAGCTGGTTCAGTAATTGTGATGATAAACAAAACCTACTGAAGTTTAAAGCTACCTAGTAATAAAAAAGTAAGCCTTAAGTAATTTTAACAGTGCTCTGAGCAATATACTTTAAAACTTGTGGGACCTTTGTATAGATCTTCTAGGGGGCTGCATGGGCTGGAAAGATCACCCACTTCTGATGTAAGTAGACTGACTTCTCTAAGGAACCTCTGGATCTGGAATTCTGTGCATAGGAGGGAGTGAGCTGGATGTAATTCAGATATCACCCTTTAACAAACACTCAAAGAACTGGTGTAAATGCATCCATGAAGTCTCTTTGCTCTTTTCTTAGTGGAGTCCAGCTTCTGGAACAGAAATAAATTGCAGAAAAGATTGCGTTAACGTAGGATGGAGAATACAGAATACAGGAATACAGAATTCCCATAAACTATCCAGACATACAGGAATTGTGGTTATGGGTGCTGAATCCATCTATGTTGAAACTTGCAATAGATTCCATTTTGCCAGGAGAATAATCAACAGAAATTCCATTCAGACATCCCAGTTTATTCATCTCTTGGCTTTTCTTGTTGATTTACCGTGGGGTGGGGGGCAGAAGGGGAGGGTAAATTTCTAGTGAAAGTGCCACAAAGCTCAAACTGTTTGTTTGGCACCCCTCTCCTGGTGGACAATAGCATATCACGTAAGCTATATACCTGTGATGACCTATGGCTTCATCTGAAAAATAACTGGGTTTTTTTTTCCACATGCTGTACCATCGTGTTAGAGATCTGTGGAAGTACTTAAGTGACGTTCCTCGCAATTTCAAAAGAAGACTCTATGAAAGACTTTCTTCATGGCTCACTGTAAACTTTTGAACTTAACTTCCTTTGCTGATCAGCCACAATAGAATTTTTTAGCCTTATAGGCATGGCATAAAGCCCTTGTTTTCCCTTATTTGAAAGGTGGTGGGGAAAATAATTTAAAATAAACATTAAACATTATTTCTTAATTGGGTCACTGTATTATGCATGATTTTTCATAGGCAATTTAAATAATTCTAGTGATGTAAATATATGTACTGTGCTACAGAGGATGTATGATTTAACTGTAATAATAAGATTTTTATTTGGGTTTTTTACTCTGAAGACAGCTAAGAAAAATCTCAGAGCTTCCCAAAACCACTCTT